CTATCTCAAATCCTGTTAACTTTGTGACATAAGATATTAAATAAAGTTAGTTGATTGAGACTCTGCTTTGAGTAGGGTATTAGAAGCAATTTGGTTCTTGTTGAAACATACAAGTAAAGATCATACCTTGAGTATTGGTATTGCTCTAGTGCTATTTTCTGTATTGACATCAATAGTTACAGAGATTGCACCCTGTAAAGTGGTGTTGATTAGTCACGGTATTGTAGCCATGTGGATTGTGTCCTAGTTAACACTGATCAATTGATTGCTATTGTCTGTATTGACATCAATAGCTAACAAGATCGCACCCTGTAAAGTGGTGTTGATTAGTCATGTGATTGTAGCCATGTGGATAGTGTCCTAGTTAACACTGATCTATTGATTGCTAGTGTGTCTGTATTGACATCAATAGCTAACAAGATCGTGCCCTGTGTAGTGGAGTTGATTAGTCACAGGATTGTGGCTGTGTTGATTGTGTCCTGTTTGAGACATTGATCAATTGATTGATAGCGTTTGTATTGACACCTATTGCTAACAAGATTGAGCACTGTGTAGTGGGGTTGATAGTTTACGGAATTGTAGCCATGTAGATTGTGTCCCTGTGTAGCATTTTTAGCCTAGGATTAAGTCTTGGTTGAATAATGTTTTAGTGGCAGCATTTTGATAGTTACGCTTAAGTCCCTGTGTGGCATTTAGAGCCTGGGATTCAGTCTTAGTTGAGTTTGATAGCAGATTGATAGATACGTTTCCCAACTTGTTGATAGATACGTTTCCCAACTTGTTATGGAGTAGGTATTTACTACATTCATTTTCAGCATGTTCAACATATTCAGCAACATAAAATCTAACATTAACATGTTCGACATCAACAAAATCACCAACATAAAAATATGAAGCATCAACACATACAATATTTACAAAATATCAATTTGTCTAATTGTATGCAAATAACGTGTGAACATGATATTCTGTAAACCTGCAGTATGATGTGAATTATTAACAATTTATTATTTCATTAAAACTTTAACTGTATTTCAATTGAATCTGTAGCATGATTAGATTATATCATGTGATGTACTGAAATTACACTATAAACATGTGTGGAGATAGCTTAACTGCATTATATCTATTCTTGCTAATCTTGTAAATACGGACATAAAACTTTAATTGTGGGGTAAATACGTAATATGATTGCCTTAATCATGTGATATAGATAACGACATAGGAATTGTAATTAAGTCCATTCACTTTAACTTGTAAAATAAGATATCTAAATAAGTTAGTTTACAGATTAACTCCGAACTGTTTACTGCAAGAGAGTAAACCGGAAACCCTGTTTTTATAAGCAGGCTGGATCCTTCCCATCATTTGGGATCGATATATAGCATGTTTTATAGCTAGGCTTATGTCCCTGTGTGGCATTTAGAGCACTGGATTAATAGCTTGTTGAATAGCTACGCTTTCGTCCCTGTGTGGCATTGTGGTGAGTTGTATCTCGGTTGACTTTAATAGCGGGCAGGTTGAACCTGGATAGATACGTTTCAAGAACTTGTTATGGAGTAGGTGTTTACTATATATTTATCTAAAATTAATCTGCTCATCTAAAAAAGAGGAAATATAATAAAAGAAAGAGGGAAACCATATTAAAAATGTAAAAATAATTGAAAGTAATAATGTAACTACTAATAACAATAAATTATTAATTAATTATTAATTAATGAATCAATATCTAAATAAATGTACAATGCATCTTTCCTATGTTTTACAATAATACTTTCAAAATGGATTATTTTTTGGTTGAAGACGTGATCTTTAGAGATTTCTAAAATAAAGTTGAATGAGAGATTTCTTGATTAAAAACATGTATAAAGAGAATTGAAATTGTGTTGTTTTTCTCTTTGTTTGTAACAATTTAGAAACTAATCTTAAACTCTATATGCAGTAAACGTCACAAAGTTATCATAACAGAATAAACGGCTCATTTATTCAAAGTGTGTCTAAAAGAATAAAAACATTTTAAAAATCCAAAGGACCAAACCATGGAATAATGCAGATTCAATAATTTAATCCTTCGATCACAGTTTGACATATAAATATAAGTTTTTTTCGCCTTTTCTCTTTTTTATGGCTTAAGCGTTCTTATAAAAGACAAATCAGCAAGTTTAAATATGGTTGAAATATAGAGTTAAACGAGATTAAATTCAATTAAAAGAACCGAATGCATCTAGTTCTGGTTAGTTCAGAGTGAAAAGTTTAATACAGATTCTATATTTAATGACATTTACATGAAAAATTAAAGGAAATGGCCCCGTGATTTCAAATGATCCTCTAAAGAAATAAACAAACGATGATATCTTCTCTTTTTTACTCAGACAATCAGCAGTTTTTAACTTTAGCTTATGCACTGTGAACTAGACCTTAGGAGAAGGTCAGATGCAACTTTACTGGTTCGACTTTATGACCTTGTAGTTCCTTTTGTTTTGATTTCATGCACAAGTATGAGATTAGCAAAGTGCTTCAACTTGATGAGGTTTCTTCTTCTCATGTAGCTCTTTAATAAAAAAATTTATGATAAACCCTATAAAGGCTGGGGGGTCTGAATCTATATATCGCCTAGGGGGTAGGCGTTTAGCGCCCCACCCCCTACGCCTTAGAGAATAGGTTGAAATGCATGTCCATAGCCCAATTTTTTAAGGCAAGCTCATAGAAAAAAAAATTAGAACGATAACTTGAATAGTATGGGCGCTAGGGAGGGTTGAAAAAAATGCCTAAAAAGAGTAAGAAAATGAAAAAAAAAAAATTTTGGGTTTAAACAAATCTCAAAGTGTGACACATGTTTCTACATGCATTTTTCAAGGGCTTTTCAAAAATACAGTTTTTAGATCAGTAGCTTTAGTCACAAAAAAGTTTTGTGCTATTTTAGAATTTTATTTCACAGACCGGACTTTTTTTCGCCCTGTACCCTACCCTATAAATAAAAAAGAATTTAACAAAAAATCCTTTAAATTACTATTCATTAAAAGTCACAAAATTTCACGGTGAGTCTGAGCTGAGCCTGAGCTGAGTTGAACTACTACAAATTGCCTGGTCAGCTTTTTAAGAAAAGAAAAACAGACAATTAACTCAAAATTTATACAGGGCTCAGAAAAAACAAGATCTTTTTAAAATGGTCCTTCTTGCAAAAATGGTTAATTTACAAAAACATCCTTTTTTTCAAAATTAGCCGTTATACGGTTGAAAGATGAATGAAAGATGAACAAGAAGAAAGAGAAAAAGAAATATAGAAATATCAAAATATTTTCATCTGATATCATATAAATATTCAAAACTTTTGTAAAATTTAATTAAAAATAAATTATTAAAGTTAAAAAAAGTCAGAGGCCAAATTTAAAGAATTTGAGCCGCGGCTTAAATTTGAGTCGCGGCTTAGTTATGGTTGTCTCCACTTAAAATTGTATTCAATGTTTCAAGATTTAAGCAAGCGCTCAATTGAAACCGGTTTTTGGCGGGTTCGAGACGCGGCTCAAATTTATTAAGTTCGGACTCAGGACAAATTATAATTTTTGAATTGTTAAGTTGTATAGAAGTAGTATAATAATATGAGAAGTATAGAACTGTATGCAGATAGTTCCAAATTTACATAAAAATTCTTATTTCCTTGTTCCCGGCAAATTGAATTCCCCCATTCCTTCTTTTATTCCGTTTAGGGGACAACACATTAATAGGATTTAGGCTTAATAGTGAAGGGGGAAAGGGAAGGTCGGGAAGTGTGAAAAAGGAGTAGCGACTTTGTGACCTCGTATCTCATCTAGTTTTGGTTTGAGACATTTATTCATTGACACACTAGAAATTCATAATGTTTGTGTTCTTCTCAATAGTTAATTCAATAAAAGGAGTTATGATTAAAAACATATAAGTTAACATATAAGATATTAACCTGATTAATCTAAAGTACGAACATTTTCTTGAGATATGCAACAATTCAGGTGTTTAATCATTTCAACAAAATTTTAGACATCAATCATTATTTCTTCGAGACATAGATATTTTTTTAAGTGTTTGCCCAGTCAAAATATCGGCAATTGTTAACATTTTGGTTTTGATGTTTAAAATTGTGTAGAAATGCTGTAACACTATAGGGGTAGGCACTACACCGGTTTTTAAACAAAACCACCTCGTCTCTCACAACTCACTACATCTATTCTTCCAACTATTCGTCAACAGGGATGCTTCTTTTTATAGAAATCAATGATCTTTTCCTTCCACTCAATTAATCATCTACCCCCCCCCCATCCTTCTTCCGCCCCCCCTCCCTTCCTTTCTCCTGTACACCCTTCATGTTCCAACACCCTGCAGAGAACTAGAGTACATGTTGTTTTTACCATTCAAGAACTGCTGGCTTAAACACATATTGTTGGGGAAACTCAACAGAAAACTTTTTATATTTACCCATCACTGACAAAAGATAAATATATCTGGATAAAGCCTAAGAATGCAATAAATAGGCTATTTTCATAATACACAGAGCCGAATTTTAAATGAGTGTCGTTGAACGTGTTGAATAAACTCTCGAGTTAGATAAGATAATTCAAAACAGCCCCACAAAACGATATTTCTTAGAAAAAATATAAAGAATATTAACAAAATTGCCTTACCCCCATTCTTGAACTATAGACATCATTCTTGAATGCCGATTTCAGGTAATGGGTTTCTTAACAATGCCTTATCATGTTGTGAACCATATCCCTAATGTAACCCTGTTTCAAAAGTCGTCTCCGACAAAGTGTACCTCCGTGGAATACTCCGTACTCCGGCCATCCGCCAAACCAAACCTTGCCAAGGATTTTACATAAATAACCTCATGGAACTAATAAAACTTAAAGTGCATTAAAAAAAGAACCTATTTAAACACAATTTCAGTGAATCATTTACATATAAACAGTGAACTTTTTTAACCAAATAAATATTCATTTCAGAAGAATTAAATTGCTTTAGACTTCAGTACAAACAACTTTTCGCCGTACCACAGTTTTCTAGATCGTAAGTTCATGTTTGATTCACAATAGTACCCATTTAAAATATTTCATTTATTAATTCCCATCGGTACCTTAAAATATTTCTTGGTCGATTCACAACAGAACCTTTCCTTTAAAATTCCTATTTATCAGTTTCAATAAACATTTAATTAGTTGTAATCAAATAGTTACATTTATTAACAATTATTATTCACATTTGTTCGTCAATCAAATAGTTACATTTATTAACAATTATTATTCACATTTGTTCGTCAATAACAATCTGTATTTTGTAGGAAACTTCGTTACTGAATAAACATTTTCAAGAAGTTCTCATCTATGTGTGTCTGGTTGAAGAGAGTGTTTCCCTAACCTAATTGCCTTTGGATTTGTCATTCTTCGAGTTACCTATCCTTTGCTTAAGTACATCCCGCTTCGAGTAACTTTTCCTTTTGTTCAGCTCACACATGTATTGTGCCAAGGTAAGTTCTTTTCCAGGGCAAAGGACTAAGGAAGAGGCATTATATCACACATGGCGTTCATTGTACACTGTAAAGTACAAACACAATACACAATTAATTACAAAGAAAAAATTAAGAAATTATTACTTTTCTGAAAAATGTTTTAAGAAAGGAGTGATTTTTTTTCTTCTTTTATAATCAATTAAAAAAAATTTGACAATGTCTTTTGACGCTTTCTACATCTTCATTTTATGCTTTGGATAGATAGATAGATAGGTGCTAATTTAGTTGTAGTTAAGCTAAACTTTAATTCCATAGGCGAACTAAATATTTAAAGTTTGGGAGTTAGGATGAGATTTTAATTACAACATGAATCCGAATCGAAGCAAAATAATCTAAACATTGGGAATCTCAATAAAAGAACCGAATTTGAATAACGTACAGTAATAACCAGAAAACATTGGAATAGGAAGACGACATTATATCAATACTAAAGTGTATTTGATGTTGTTACAAAACAAATAGTTTTACAAGTTTTTAAGTTATAACTTGATTCCAAAAGTCGTCTTTCTATCTTAGAGTGTTCTTGTTATCACTATTCATTCTAATTTTGTACCTAATATTTTATATATTTTCGTGGACATTTTTTCTTTACTTTAATTAACCACTAAAAAATATAATTCTTTAACATTAAGGCAAAAAGGATTTTATTACCAATTCTCTTATTCTACACAAGTACTTCTATATGAGAACTTTAGAAGATTGATATTTAAAAATTATAAAAAAGGTGATTAATGTTAACATAAAAAGTAACATTTTATCAGAATCATAAAATCATATTATTTAACTTTTAAAATGATTTTACCATAAATATCGTATATAGAAATCTCTATGTAAAATGATAATGGAAAGGGGAAAAAATACGATCGTTTTTAAACAAACAAACGAAACAAAAAAATCTAAAATCATTAATGACCGTTTGCTTTTTTTGGATCAACAAATTTACGAAAATCCTGAAACTAATGAAATTTAATTATTTTTTTTTTCTAAAAACTGAGAAAACGAACAAAATGAGTTGTTAACAACGATGATCGAATGATTTGAAAAAAGCCGAACGCGTCCATCTCTAGACTGCAGGTGGGCATTGAGGTTTACCGTTTATATGCTATTTCGATTTGTTGGATCTGCGATTGCCGACCAATAAGAAGGACGCACACATTGGACGAGGACCTGCAATTAGAAGAACTAGGCAAATCTCAAATACTTTACTAACCCCAAATTATAAGAGAGTTTTTGTATAAGTAGATCAGTCTTGCTAATTTTCGATACATCGAACACAACGTGAAGATTTCTTCTTGTAGAGATATGATTATTGGCTTTTACACGGAATTCATGGAATAATAAGAAGAGAATACCCATGATGTCAGATGATATATGATGTGCATAGAATAATGGTTGTATTGTTATACTAGGGATGGGTTCCGGGAGGGGAGGGGGATATTGGGCGAGGGGGGGGGGGCTCCCGGCAAATATGGTTGTATTACACTCCATTATCCCCACAAAGATAATGATTCTTAGATAAAAAGATAGATAGATATTTGACGATTGATCAAATCTGAGTCTCAAATTAAATCTGCAGCATCACATCCTAATCAATTATTATTATAAGTTTCTGGAAAAAATTTTAAACTTTTGCTTTTAGAGTCAACAATTTTCAGCTTAATTTATAATAACCAAAACTATTTGCGGATTTTCCTATAAATATTGATGCATTTTCAAATATGACAAATGTCAATTTTTTTTTCCTGGCGACATTTTTCAATTGGGTCTGATTGGTTCAGTTGTTTAACGTTTATTAGATAAAACAGACAGACAGACAGATGAAGTTTAAATTTGTTTAGAAAAATGTCATCCATTTAAAAAGTTTTACGAAAAAAATGAAAAATATTCTTGTGGGGTATTTTAACGGGTTTGGTTGTGTTTCATGGTGAGAATGGACAAAAGGAATATATTATGATAATCTTTTCATTTACAATTATTGTATTAAATGTAGCTTGCATTAATTCATAATGATTTCAATTCATAATCAGTTTTCCCGTTGATATATTTATCCTTAAATGGATTCTGTAATCCCGCAATATGTTTGATGTCTTCTTTGTAACAGCTAGTTATTTTGGAAGAAAAACATATATTTTATATCAAAAGTAAAAAAGTGCATTGATTTATAATGATTTCAATTCATAATTACTTTTCCCGTTCATATATTTATGCTTGATGGATCAGGTAATCCCACAATATATTTAGATGTCGTCTTTGTTACAGCTAGTTATTTACATAGATAAATAAATAAACATAAATAGCTTATGTACGCAAAATCACCAAGAATTTTACAGTCCGCGAACTCATACTTCTAGGGGTCAAAGTTTACTTCAATGATAAGCGGGGTGGTTTGGTGTTTTAATGGATTTCATAATAGGGTGTAAAATAACTCCGGGAATGTAACTATTTGAACAACAATAATTCAGTGAGCAATATATTATATTGACGAGAACTGAAGAAGGACATGAGAAGAACAAAACTAACTTAAATTTCTCTCTACAGAACTCATGTACACCACAAGTACTCAATGACATAACAACAGCCAATGTTCACAACCGACCTAGTTAATCTATATAGTAGCAATATCTTTAAGACATCCTATCTTTATCTATGGTTATTAAGGAAGAAAAACATATATTTTATAGCAAAAGTACAAAAAAAGCACATCGGTTTCGGGATAATCTAAATATATAAATAGAGTCTAACAGCCATATAGAAAAGAATAAGGGGCATCGGCATCACGCCAAAATCATGATTTAGTCAGAGTAGCGTTTTGAAAAAGCCTATTTTAAGAGTTTTTAATAAAATAGAAGGTTTTCGGTCGAAATTCTCAACTAAATCATTTTGGCTGCCCCCCCCCCCTCATAATGTGTACCACCCATCTTCTTCAGAATTATATATATTTTATAATGTTAGTATACAACCCTTAGTGCCTATATCCATCATTCTGCCACCAACAGACCAAAAATCAACCTTTCAAGTAATTTCCAGAATAGTAAAAAGAATCAGTGGGAACAAGGATCCCCCTCTCTAAAAAAGTGTATTTTTCCTTATATAGCCATGGTCGCAGACATTGGCCCGCTAACCTTCCCTTACCACAACACTCAGCAAAGAAATGGTTGCTGTTTAAATTGTATTCTAGCATAGGCAGTAGTAAACATAGCCTACGATAAAATTTAAAGGGAGTGACCGGCTATGTAAGGTAGTTGAACTGAGCATGCAGTGTGGAAAACTCCTTTTGGATTTATTTGAGACATATTAAACTTTTTAAAGATCTGTAAATCCGAATGTTGACGGCAAATTCAACGTTCAAAACTCCTACTTTGGGGGTGAAAACGTTTTCAGAATTTTTTTTAAATTATTAAATAACAACAACGAAAAAAAGTAAGGTAGTTCAACTACCTTACATAGCCGGTCACTCCCTTTAACCCACTCAAGTTGAAAGCTTTAAACATGGCACATAACATTCCATAGATCTACGGAGTACCGAGTTCCAATCTGTTTAGAGGTTCATGAGTTTTGATCTGACTTTCAAACAAACACTTACACAGACACCAAAACACCAGAACAGAGACTAAACTATAACAATATATATATAAATAAATGTCAAAATAAACCTTTATAATAAAAGGAATAAAATGGCACATTTGTATGGGTCCTCTTTGCGGACAGAACCAGATAAAAAGCAACAAAATTGCTTAGAACTTTAATAAGCAAAATCATTCTTGATATTTCTCTATCGAACATTGAAAGAACAGACCATGACGTTTCTAGAATTATAATAAGATTAAAATGTAAAGAAAACAACTTTACAATGGCCAAGGATAGTTTTAGATCAGAAAACGACATTTTAGGAAATATACATTTAAAGCATGCAGAGAAAATTAAAATAGTACTATTCAAGTTTCATCACTGCACTTTAAGTCGTCTTTGGTCTGCACAACTTTTAAATACTCAAAACAAAGGACAAAATATTACCCTGATTCTTACAGGATTAAAAGATTATTTGAGATATTAAACATTTCGTCTCAGTATAATTCAATAAAATATGAAATTAAAATTAAATATTTTTAAAATCTCCATCATTATTTGTATTTTAAAGATATAAGGTTAAAAAAATGTTTACACCTTTTGCCCTTAATTCATTCAAATGTTTTTACGTGTCATTATCTTGCTTTTTCAAACATTTGAAATATATTTCACATAGAAAACAGTTTTTTTGTTCTGAATAATAACGCATGTCCAAGATATTTTATTTTCAGATTAAGTAAAAGTTTCAGGAGTTTATATTAAATTTCTATTTACTTTGTCGCAAACCCTAAACGGGGATCATTTAGATTCCTAGACAAAGGTTCAATTTAGCATGTAACTTTGTTAGAAATAACCAGAAAACTGCAGTAATGTAGGAAGACGACATTAAAGAAATACTGAAGTGCATTTGATGTTGTTACAAATAGCTTTACTATGGTAAATTGTCAAATCACTTATGTCGACTTCCTATTCCAGAGTTTTCTGGTTCTCACTGTACACTGTCAGAAAATATCATATTTTTTGCAAAATATATCAATATCCAAATTCACAAAGCGTTGTAAAATAAAGTACATATTGCGTGTAGTGAAAAATAGAATGTTAGGAATATGAATAGGATCAAATTAATTGTTGTAAACTGTAACTTGTAAATCTAGAAGATTATATATTGAACTTGAAAAGGAATATTGGAACCCGAGTGTAATATCTGAATCTGCAGAATAGTTCTGAAATGGTTTCCATCCGTTATCTAAATGTGGAAGATGTCAGAATACCAGTGGTTATGAATCATCCTCCCCTCAATCTTACAAGGCTAGCTCTAAATCATTCTAAAAGTATCCGTTCAGCTCCCTTTTTCTGTCAAACAGAAGATTATATATATATAATATATCATTGATGTACATTTTGACCCCTAGAAGTATGAGTTCGCGGACTGTACAATTCTTGGTGATTTTGCGTACATAAGCTATCTATGTTTATTTATTTATCTATGGAGGGAACGGCTTGGTACATATGTTTGGACTAAGAATGCAGTATAAGAAAGAACATTATAGGATTCATTTGATATAACAATGAGACGTTTCTACGGTGTATAATTTCTAAGTAAGAGCGTAAATTGGTTTGTAAAATTTCCCTAGATGGAATGGTCCACAGGAGAAACGTTTTTTTAAAATAATTTTCTAACCCGGATGAAAAATGTGAAACAAACTCTACTGTTAACTATAATTAGTTGTTATGGGAACACAGGTTTAGAAAATAAAATTATCTCTTATCCTCAAAATAAGTAATTTTATTCAGTTATCAGTTCTGAAATCTTTGATTGTTCATGCAAATGTTTTCTGTAGATTTCCTGGAATTTTTTAGAAAGGACAACATTTAAAAAAATTGAAAGAAATCTGTAACAAATAAATAAAGAATAAAAAATTCAATCTAATGATGACAAAGAAATGATTGATTCTACCATTGATTTCTTCATATCTTTCTAGTAAGAAATATGTTCCAAAAACAACAATTAGTTTACTGTAAAATTGTTGTCACATTTTTCGTCCGTGCTATTGAATAATTGTTAAAAAACTTTCTTCTGCGGACCATCGCTTCTGGTGAAATTTTACAAACCATTGATTTTAAATAGAATATTTACCTGAGGGTTTGAATAGAATATTTACCTGAGGGTTTGAATAGAATATTTACCTGAGGGTTTAAATAGAATATTTACCTGAGGGTTTAAATAGAATATTTACCTGAGGGTTTAAATAGAATATTTACCTGAGGGTTTAAATAGAATATTTACCTGAGGGTTTAAATAGAATATTTACCTGAGGGTTTGAATAGAATATTTACCTGAGGGTTTGAATAGAATATTTACCTGAGGGTTTGAATTACCAAAATTTGAATTTCCAGCTCAGCAAACCGTCTTCCAATACACATCCTTGATCCATGACCAAATGGAGTAAATGCAAAAGGATGAGCATTGTTCTGTTGAGGGCAGCCTCGTAACCATCTTTCAGGTAGAAATTCATCACTGTTCTTAAAATGCTTTTCAGATCGCATTGTCATTGTCCACATAAAAGACACCATTGAACCCTTTGGAATTTGGTATCCGCTCAATACCATATCCTTCTGAGTTGTTCTACCAAGACCACCAACTGCCGGTAGCAGCCTTTGGCTTTCATGCTGAACAGCTTTTAAGTATTTCATCTCATTGAGAATGGCCGGAGTAAGTTTCCTATCTCCCAGTTTGTCCTTGATTTCCTTATACAGTATCTCCTGCTGTACAGGGTTTGATGCTAAATGGTAAAGAATAAAAGCAGCAGTATTGCCTGTTGTATCAATACCAGCCATCATGGCATCCATTGCCATAACCTCAGGGATCTTGGACTCTGTTCCACACTTGTGAATCAACTTCTGGAGAACACTCATCTTGTCAGTCTCAGTGATATTGTTGGCTTTAAACTTATCTTTGGCCTGAGCGATGAATTTTGAAGTGATCTTGTGAATTCCTTCAGAAGCGGTATCAAAATCATCCAAGTGCTTAGTTCTGTACAATTTCCATAATGGCAATCCGAACGTTAACTGATTTAGAGCAAAGCCCAAGGCAATTTCTGTATGTGCTATCATTTCTAAGAATAGAATCTATTAAAGCTGGCTTCGGAGTTAAACAGGAGATGAGAATAAAATTGATTTAAGTCTTCTTTGCAGATAAGGAGAGATCTTAACTAGTTTCATTGTAAAAAATTAAAACTCGTAATCGCGGAGGTTAGGTCCTCATGCAGTGCTCATGAGTTTTTAACCTTGGTAAAATCGTTGTTATTGTTCATAAAACCATTCCTGAACTGTCATTATACCTCATGGTAAAATGTAAACAAACCCTATATTCCCATCTTTTAAGCTATCTTCTATATAAATATACTTTGCTCGTCTATCTGTCTGTTTGAGTCCAATAAACGAAAAAATGACAAATTTCGTATGGGACCCCAAGGAAGGTTTCTAGATGATCAAATTTTCAAATATTTGCCTCCAACAAAATTCGATTTTCATTAAATTTAAAAAAAATCCACTCAATTTATTTTCATAAAATCAACTAATTTTTTGTTTGTTTTTGTTTTACAATGTTTACCTTTTGCTTCTTTGGGAGGGTCTGCTTTAAGGCATCCAATCCTAAAATATGACGTCAATTAAAGTATTAATTTAATGTTTGTCTTTGGCATATAGGGTTACCCAAAAATTAAAGAGATAAGGTCGTCTTTACAGTTTCATCCTTTCATAGACGACTTCAGGTGGAAGTCCCTCCCCCTGAGTGAAATTAGGGGGGGGGTGTACCCCCTCGATTTTGTTCAAAGTTATTAGTCTGAAGACTTTTGACCTTGACCAAGTCATCTACGACCACCGACAGGTTGGTCAAGCCGGAAAGACTTGCCTCAATTTCGGACAACAGTGTTTTGAATGCCTTTATTGCAAGCGGACCAAGAAAACTAAATTATCATAGATTGGAAGAAGTGAGGATATTTATAATTTTTTATATGAAACAAAAATTCTTTTTTTTTACTTTTTTTACTCTGAAAATAAACATAGAAACTACTTACAGTCTCCTGCAAGAAAAAAATAGGATTATTTTTTAAAGATCAATAATAATAGCATGATTTAAGCAGGAAATAAAAGTAATATTCTCTTCATTAAAGTAATATGATATGATATGCATAACGTTCAGGAATGAAGTTCAATCCATAATATTTTTTTTTACATCGTTATTAGATGAATAAATGGAGTTTTAAGACATTTGCCTACTGTAATTTAGTATGGTAAATAGAAATTTTTAGAAATAGAGGGGGGTACATTTTTTTAAAAAGATTACAGGGGGATACAATTTTTTGTTACCCCTTCGCGCGACTAGATTATTTCCCCCCCCCCCCCCCCATCTTAAATCCCTAAAGCTGCCCTTGCATCCTTTGTGGGTGACCCTGTGTACCTTGTGTCTAAAAAGATGGCGCTAACTGCCTCCAATGACCATCTGTACATCAATGGTGTAACATCATCAATTGTTCTGTCCTGGTTCATGTTTGAAGCCACAAGGTTCAGTAGATCATTGGATACTCCTGTGATTTCATCAATGTAGAATAATGCAGATTTAGGTCGGAGCATATCCTGTTGAACCTTTGATCGAGCTGAAACAATTTAATTTTAGTAGTAATCTCAGGTGGTCTTTGATTTTAAAAATTTCCTTTAAAATTCATTGACGTTTTTTTTTGCTAAAGGAACAATAGAGAAAATCCACATTATTGGTTATGAATCAAATATTCCTTTAACAATCTACGTGACATAAATCCAAATTATTTTAAGTTATTAGATTTATAATAAAAATCAAACTTACCCTGATACCACTGTTCTCCATGTGATCCTATTAATCCCCCTGTTTCAGGGTACAAATCCTTCCTAATTTTTTGCCTGTATTCTACGAAGAAGTTAAATCCATGTTCTATTGGATCCTTGTCATCGGTGTAGATCAATGTTTTCAAATCTTCAGGATTACTTAACATAACTGCCTCTCCTACCCCTGGTAGTCTGACAATATGTAGTTGTTTATTATCAGGAAATATTATTATTAATTATTAATTATTTTTAAAAAGTTTTATGTACGTTGCAGTAAGATCAATACAACTGCGGAATATGAAAACAAATTCAATCAATTGTATGCGTATTTGATGTTGTTATTTATACTTTTCATCGAAATAACTATACAAATCCTGAGTTTAATATTCATTTGGACTACTTTAAATTATAACTTGAGGCTTTTTTGTCGTTTTCCTTTTTCACAGTTGTATGGGTCTCACTCTAGTTGTTTAATATTCACATTACTTTGAATTATTATTATAAATAAAAAATATAAACAAAAATCAGCTTACCCCATTCTAAAAATAGGACCATGAACTTTATGCAATTCATTCATGTTAATATGCATTTTAAGCATGTACGAATTGTCCTGAGCAGCTCTATATATTCAGTTTAAATGTTTGGTTTCAAATAATCATTTTTTTTCTGATCCGAGTCAATATTTGTAAATATATCGCAGGGGCGTATACAGAAATGTGTCCAGTTTTAACCTTGTTTACTTACCAGAGGATTAACTTCCCCTGCTGCGAACCACCTTTCTAGGATAAGGTTGGGGGGGGGGGGAGTAATCCCCATAGCATTCCTGTTTGCGCCCCTGAATTTAGCTGGAATACAACTCCTAAACCAAATATTTAAACTTTCCTTAGCATGGATTTATAAAAGGGTTCTTTTGGAATACTTTGATAAGAAGCAGCTGAGGCATAATCTCCTGCTTTAGTCACTAAAGTAAAAATGCCTGATTTTTTTTGGATGAATTATTATTATTATTATCATTAATATTATTATTATTTTTGAAGGTGAAGCCGAACTGATATATCTAACCAGGGCTAAACCTTCTTCTCTGATGAACCCTGTAAACCCTCTCTGCAGTAACATTGTATCTTCTAACCCTGAAAAATAATCTTTGCTCAACAATAACATTTCAACTAGTTTTGGAACCAAGCTTTGCCTGCGAAATCTCCCTATAACAGTCGACCTACTCAACATAGTTGTTTCAAACTAAACTACAAATATTCCCATTCATTCCAAATCAAAATTTGAGACAAATCGGTCAAGGGCTTAATGAGTTATGAGTTAATGTATTGAGATTAAATCGACTTTAGGCGTAATTTTGCGTAACTCTTCATATCTTATTAACAATAACATTTAATTAAAGTGATTTGCATATTTTAAGGAAAATACAAAGAACGTAATTTAACAAATTAAAAACCTTTTTTTATTGAATAATTACGCTGTATCATAAATTCAATATTAACTTAAAACTCTTAAATATTACAGGTAGAATTTAGCTCTCTTCCTTCAGTACAGTCTATTTTTGGGTCACCCTGTAAAGGATTTACTATAAGTCAATACGAAGGGTAGGAATGATAATTTCAACTAATGGTATCTCAGTTAGGATATATAGAAATATACCTAATCTACGTATGATATAAAGATAAGGAAAAAATCAAGGATTATAATTTATAAAACATGCAAAACAAAGATTCGTCATTTTTATGTTAAGTCTTCTACATAAATACATATTAAGTTGTAATCTCTGTTGTCTGTTTGTTTGTATTTTTGTCCAATTGTCCAATCATAACTCATTATTGGGGAACTTTGAAGAACCGCAAGAATACTTTTAGATTGGGATTGAGATTCTAAGTAGAGTTCACTTTTAGATTGGGATTGAGATTCTAAGTAGAGTTCACTTTTAGATTGGGATTGAGATTCTAAGTAGAGTTCACTTTTAGATTGGGATTGAGATTCTAAGTTGAGTTCACTTTTAGATTGGGATTGAGATTCTAAGTAGAGTTCACTTTTAGATTGGGATTGAGATTCTAAGTAGAGTTCACTTTTAGATTGGGATTGAGATTCTAAGTTGAGTTCACTTTTAGATTGGGATTGAGATTCTAAGTTGAGTTCACTTTTACAGGAAAAAATAACTAAAATAATAATTTTAAATAAAAGATTTTGCTTCCAAAAAAGTTGTTTTAAAAACCACCATGAAAATAGGAAAACCTTGAATATCTTCAATTAAATTGTTTCATACGTTATGAAGGTAAAATGATTAAGGGTATAACATAAAGAATTAGAAGTACAAAGATTAATGACGCGAAGCCTTATATTCCTTATAAATGTTTAACAGACTGTTTTGAACTGAAAAATTTTAGTTCTTAATTTATAACTTAAAGAGCTTAAATGTTCAAATAAGAATATAATAATTTGCGTAGTTAGCTGTGTTGTGTTACAGGCAGTCTCCGCTCCACTGAGACTGATTATTAATGTTTTGTGAGAGTTTAAATGACATGCAGGTTGGTTTTAAACTTTTATGTTGATCAAATTAAAATAAATGGAGCATTTTAATTTTAACATTGTATCCAGGCGCGTAACTAGACATTTGTTTAGGGGGGGGCTAGGGGGAAATATTTCGCGCGAAGCGCGAAAAATTTTTTGGCCCCCCCCTTAACATTTTTAGGGGGGGGCAAGAAAAATGTGTGTTATACTTAAACAATAAAAAACTAACCTTACCAACCTGATATTCAGTAAGTCAACACATCTGTGGGGGCCTGGCCCCCCTGGCCCCCCCCCTAGTTGCGCGCCTGATTGTATCATCTTTCCTAGAATTTGAAATATTATTCCTAACTTGTGTAAATCTGCTTAAAATAAACACTCTGTAGGTTATAGAGTACATCACTTAGTGCACACTGAACACTGTTCACTGTTTACAAAGTACACATAAAGAAGAACGTATACACTGAACCTCACAAAGTTATGATGGTGGTGTATTTTTCGACCTACGCAAATCCGCTATACTATACTCCTCCTCTGACCTACGCCAAATCTGCTATACCGACCTACTAGCACGTGGTTTTACACTTTACAACTGCTATAAGGACTTGTGGCCGCAGCGTTCGGCCCCCTAGTCTGACGTAGGTCCGATATTGCAGGCTCCCGGCCCCTAGCCTGACGTAGGTCCGATATTGCAGTAGGTTGGAAAGTTAGTAGGTAGGAAGTTCAGAAGGGGGGATGTTGCGTATAGACGATGTAACATTACCAGGAAAGACACAGGAAAAAATATTCTGAAAAAAACCTGGACACTTGGCTAAAAAATCCCAATTTTCTGAAGTCCTAACCTTAACAAAGCCTCGGAAATGTTTTTGAGAATCTTAATAATGCAGCAGAGAGAAAGCCATTAATAAGTTTATTATACCCGGCTTTAACAATTAATTTGTAAAACTTTCTTTGTGCAAAGTTGTAATAAAATGGTTTTAGTAAGTAAGTAAGTGACGAAAACTAGCTCTAAATACCATTCACAAGTCCTGTACTGCTGAATTGGCACTTCCTGCTTTCTTCCTGCTCGACTTCCTGCAAACTGACTAACTATTTCCTTTCTCTACAAACAAGAAGAACTATAATATAAAACACCTGAGTTAAATATTCAAGAACAGGATAAAATTTGAAGGTGAATTTAAAAGGATTTTAAACGTTGTTTTACAATTTTACAATTCACAATGATACCCTTGAAACCTTTGTCAGAGCATAATTAAAGGATAATTGTCAATTGTGCGGATCTCTAATAAAGTGACTGACAGACTTATTCAGCAGAGAAAAGAAAGAACAATACAGAATCTATCTTCTTATGCCACAATGTTAGCAGAAACCCCGAACATTTTTAAAACCAGTTCTCTCTGGACGGTATTTGTAAACAAGAATAGATGCATCGGTGTTCCTCTAGTATTCGAGGAGGATAAAAGCATTTAATTTGATTATTTTGATAATTCACATAATATTTTTCTATGAGTATGACCAGAATATTTAATTGATTTTTTATCTGAAAGATGGATTCCATGTCTGGCTGGTACATTCGTCTTGTGTTTACTTTACAGCCTAGAGACAGTACACTGCATGCAGTATTATAAATGCGTACACCTCTTAAATGACTATCTTTACATTATAATTCTTTGATTCTTATTATCGATCTTTCAGAAACTTTTGAGAAATTGCGACATATTATTTGAGATTAAAAACCGACCGTTTATAATTTAAAATTGTTTTTGGTAGTTCCGTATTACAATTCACTCATTTTGCACTTTGCAGTGCACTTTATAAATGGCATTATTTTAGGTCACTTGAAACTATGTCGACTATTTACTATTTCTGTATTGTACACCCAGTCTTATATAAGCATAATCTTTCAGACATTTTTCTTTTTATTTCATGCAATTAAAGATTAAGGATTTTAGAAAGAAGTGTAACCAAGGTAGTAATGTCGCATTGTAAATAGATATTCTATTTTCTTTGGATTTATGTTAAATATAAAAAGATTTCGTCCAAAATCCTAAAATTATTAAAAAAAAGTCAAGATAAAAGAAAGAGAGCCAAGAGATTGGAAAAATTAGATTTTCTTTTTAAAAATGCAATCCGAGCTGAAAAATTTAGAATGAGATACAGGCATAGAGAATAGAATATATATTAGAGTGGAATTTAGAGAATCTCTCGGTATGAATTTTTTCAGTCCCTTTCAGCCTGAAAGGGAGTTCAAAGTGTACAAATCATGTAAATGTTCACAAATTATATGCAGTAGAGTACATTAATACAGTATGTTCCCTAGACTATTCATTTCAATTTCGAATTTTTAAACTGTTAAATAAACTTTATAATGAATTAGGTGAATAAAAAACATCATTTGATAACGGAAAATCATCGTTTGAAGTACACCTGCAGTATGAAAACAGTACAACAAAATGGCCGTTTTACACTTTTTTTCTAGGAAATTCCCCTCTAAAATATATTCTATTCTCTTTGGTTACAGGGTGTCCCACGAAACATGACAGTTGGTGAATAGTTTAAAATGTCTTCTTCCATAATTTGATAAGATGTTTGATACTGAAGTTGATAACTTGAAATGCGTGGGTTTTCATAAGCATGAATTCTTAAACTACCCACGCTTAACCTTCAAAAAAATACTATGCCTCACCTTTCTGTAGACAAAGAACTCTTACATCCACATAAAAAACCAGATATTTCCGGATCAAACAAACATCAAATACAAAAACACAAACTTTAATATATTTTTCACAAAAACTAAAAGATATAAAAACTGCACCAATTCTATTTCGTTTATTAAATTAACAAACTGTAATTATATTAAATTTATGTATTTTTTATGAAACCCTGGATAACAAAGAACTCAAGCTTGGTGAACCAGACCTTGAACAAACAGGCAACCTCAATCCTGAACAAGAGATCTACAAGACAGTTCCAGCAAGGACCCGAGCCAGCAAGGTCCTCAGCTTTCATCCGAGCTCCGTAACTTTAACAATATATATGTTGAAGTCGTAAAATAAAAACATCTTGAAGCAATCTTTCCTTTTTTGTTCCAGAAGATACTAATAAAATTGATTTCACATTAAAATACATGTAAGTTAAACCTTTTTTAAAAGAAATAAAGTATGTATAAAGTATAAAGTATGTCGAAGAAGGGAAGAAGACATTCAGAACAATTCACCAACTGTCATGTTTCGTGGCACACCTTGTATCCTTTATCACGATCTGATTAATCTGATTATCCAATGAACACACTTTTGATTTTCTTCTTAATCCTCTTTTTGGATATTTCTACTGTATAAAAGTTACGTTTGATAACAATTACAGATATAATGCTATATCGATTGAACTAATATCCGATTAAATTAAAGTCAGCTGTTCACAAGCCGGCTTTTAGAGCATTTAAACAAGTATAAATTTAATCATGTTAATATGAAATTATGAAGAAAAAAACATATTTTAGGACTGTCATTTTAAACGTTAGTGTTAATAAGCATTAATCCAAAACTTACGTTTGTTCAATCGATGTTTATTTAGTTCAATTGATATGACACCATCAACACCAGAAATCAAAACCGGTTTTTCAAAAGTTAAAGAGTACATCTTAACATGACACGCTGATTGGTTAAATTTTGAACTTCTTTCTTGGATCGAATGCGTTTAAAAATAATCTTGGGTTTAGTAAAACCAGGAGTTTAAGCATTAATCTTGATATCCACCATTCTAAAGTTTTCAGCTCTAGACAAGTATCTTTATTTCTCACCCCGTGTTTAAAAGTTACAGACCACATATTGGAAATTCTATCGAGTCTTCGTTTTTTATTGTGTTCACAAAAATATCTCACGTGGTGCAAAGGCGACATGAAATTATGTCACTTTCTTATGTTTTAAGGACTACTTATACTTTTCTAGACTTGAAAAATGTTTTTACAATCCCGAGTTATTCCCTACTGTTAATCTACCAATACCATAGAGGAGTTTCCAGATAACATACAAAATAAAACATTGAAATTTTTTTATTAATTTTATGCGGTTAAATAATCTTTTTTTTTAAAAGTCGTATATTTGCAATTTTCAGACAGGGACATTTATCACTATTAAATTAAAACTCCTTTACGGTATCCTTAGAATATCATTTCATGCAAGTTAAATTTATTTACGAGTACTCGCAGTCAGTCCCTTTAAATTAGAAAGAATATTTTATTAGTTTATTTTTGCTCTCAACAACAATATAGTTTTTCTTTTTTTCTTTTCTCTGGAGATTTTTGTGAAATTGGCGGAAAATTGGCAAATTTACCTTCATTCTTGTGCACAAACTTTAGTGAAAGATAGAGAGAAAATAAGAACCCAGATTGTCAAAAATGGATACTGCACAGTTATAAAATCTGGTCACCAACTAGTAAGCAATCAACCTTGATTGTAAAACCTTGGTTTCTATCATTTTTATGGATGTAGCCTTTGGTTTAAAGGAACAAATCATTGATTTACGTTGATTTTTTACGTTAAATTATGTTGATTACTGACCTTGATCTCCTACTGGGGGGTCTCCGTGCTCGTCCCAGCCCCCCCCCCCATGTTAGTTTACGTTGATTTACGTTGATTTACGTGATTTACGTTGATTTACATTGATTTACATTGATTTACGTTAATTTACATTGATTTATATTTAATCATGTTGATTTACGCTGATTTACGTTGATTTACGCTAATTTACATTGATTTTCGTTGATTTACACGAATTTACGTTGATTTACGGTAATTTAAGTTGATTTACGTTGACTGTTTGTTTAACCCTAAACAGGCTGTGTTTTTTTTCCCTAGCACTCACTGTGAAATTTTGTGACGTTTAATAAATAGTAATTTAAAGGATTTTTTTATTTATAGGGTAGGGTGTAGGGTGTAGGGCGGAAAAAAAGTCCGGTCTGCGAAAAAAAAAATCTAAAAAAGCCCATACAATTTTTTGTGATTAAAGCTACAGATAAAAAAAAAATATTTTTTTCAGACCCCCAGCCTTTATGGGGTTTAAACTTTACAGTTTGTTGGACCTAGGATTTTCATCAGTTTTTATGTTAAATTCTTTCAATAGAACATAATTCAATATTGGAACATTTTTTTAAGCCAGCAAGAACAATCTTGTTTTTTACCCATTAATTTAAGCTTAATTAATTCTCATCTCTCTCTCTCTCTATACGTTCTCATGAGAAAATTAAAATAATAATAATTACTTATCATAAATCATTAAATCATTCCTTCTTCCTTATGACGTCTAAAAAAGATGGGATTTAAACTGTCTCTTTGGGTGCTTTTTGGACACCTTCAATTCAAACGATGGAACAGCATATTTAGTCAGAGAATAAATTCACTGCTCTATTTAAGCATTTTGTTATAATTAAAATTTCAAAAAAATGTTCATAAAAAATCCTACAAAGGCAGGTGGGTGTGAATTTATGCATAGTTTGGGGGGGGGGGCTGCCCAAAGAAAAAGGCCTTAGGGCAAAGGTACGGAGTTGTAATGCATGACTTATTTGCTCAATGTGCAAAGCCCAATTTTTCAAGGCCGGGTCATGAAAAAGATTAGACCACTAACTTTAATAAAAAAATGAAAAAATGTGAAAATATTACATTTTTTGTCAACAAATATGTGGACCAAGTTTTCAAGAAGTTTAAGATCTGTAGCTCAACCATCCATTAAACAACAACAAAAAGTATTTGATATTTTAGATTTTTTAAACACCAACAGGCCTTATGACTTCTTGTAGAGGAGGGTTATTACGTATAAAAGTAAAAAAAAATTATGAAAAATTCATAAATTTGTTTATTTTCTATTTAGAGATATTACCATGATTAGAGGGATTGCATAAAATATTTAAAAATACATTTGTACGACCTATTGCAATGAATAAATATCTCACGAAACCTCTGAAGTAGAAATATACTATTTAAACTTTAAACTTTAGCTAGTACATATATATATAATATATATAATAAAGCAGGCTTTAAGAATCCAAGCTCTTTGGTAACCTATTTTTTAGGCTGATATTTTTTGTCTGCAATAATGATATCATTTATTACTAACTAATAAAGGTATTTTAAACTGAAGGTTTATTTTTATAAATGTATATATAAAGTAGTTTAAACTGAAGGTTATACATCGTTTAATTTTATAAATGTATTTAAAAAGTAGTTTAAACTGAAGGTTATACATCGTTTAATTTTATAAATGTATATCAAAAGTAGTTTAAACTGAAGGTTAAACATCGTTTAATTTTATCAATGTATATAAAAAGTAGTTTAAACTGAAGGTTATAAATCGTTTAATTTTATAAATGTATATAAAAAGTAGTTTAAACTGAAGGTTATACATCGTTTAATTTTATAAATGCATATAAAAAGTAGTTTAAACTAAAGGTTATACATCGTTTAATTTTTTAAATGTATATAAAAAGTAGTTTAAACTGAAGGTTATACATCGTTTAATTTTATAAATGTATATAAAAAGAAAATAAGTGATCTTCCATTATGGAATGTTGGCTTCAGAACAATATTTTTTAAATCTCGTTGTTGCATCATTTATTACGGAAAATTCCATAGAATATTGCCGTCATCAGACATAGATTTAGAGAGTACCGTTGTTCATTGAACTTGACCTCTCTACAATCAATTTAATGTTCTAAGGAAAGGTATATCTATGCTCTGAGGAAAGGTATATCTGCTCTTAGGAAAACCGCATCTTTGTTCTAAGGAAAGGTATATCCAAGGTACTAATGCAAGGAAAGTTATTTCAGAGGTGTACGAATTTTTTGTACTGCAGTGAACTGTCTTTGGGCGGAAAGGTTAACACAAGACGACTGTCACAGCCTGACATAGAATCATTTTTCACAAAAATAATCTAAGAAATATTCTGGTCATAGAAAACTATTATGTAAATTTTCAAAATTATCAAAATTAAATGCTTTTATCCTCCCCTGATATTAGACGAACACTGATGCATCTATTCTTGTTTACAAATTCCGCCCAGAGAGAACTGGTTTCAATATATACGCGACCGCAATTAACTTTCCTTGCTTTAATACCTTGGGTAATGGGTATACCCATGCTCTAAGGAAAAGGTATACCTACTTTCCAAGGAAAGGTTTATCTATGTTCTAAGGAAAGGTATATCAATGTTCTAAGGAAAGGTATGTCTATGCTCTTAGGAAAAGTATATCCATGTTCTATGGAAAGGTATAACTATATTCTATGGAAAGGTATATACATGTTCTATGGAAAGGTATAACTATGTTCTATGGAAAGGTATATCTATGTTCTAAAGAAAGGCATATGTACGTTCTATGGAAAGGTCTATCTATGTCTATGGAAAGGTATATCTATGATCAATGGAAAAGTATATCTATGTTCTAAAGAAAGGCATATCTAAGTTCTATTATAATCTAAGATGAGAGAGTTTTCTTAAATTTTCTGGGACAATTTCATGCTTGCTCTCATATAGATAACTTTACCCACACACACAAACAAACGGCCTCGTCAAAATATACATATATATATATCTCTCGATATATATATACTTTGCTTGTCTGTTTGTTTGTCCGTTTGTATCCAATACACGTCTAATCGGCTGAACCGATCGGGCCCAAAATTTGTATGTGACTCACTGGAAAGGTTAATGGATTTGTAAAATTTTAAAATGCGCGAAAAATATTTTTAAATCCGCGAACTTTTTTTGTTATTGTTATATATTGTACAAAGAGATGATGCTCACAGATTAAAAGTTTAAATAGAATAGGGCGCTAGGGCGCGAAGCGTCCTTAAAGGCTAGTATATAAATATAAAGTAGTGATTTCTGTTTGTTTGTTTGGATGTCCCATCAATCATAACTCATAAACCCCTTGGGCGATTTGCCTCAAATATTGATTGGGTAGCTTGAAACAACCATGGTAATTTTATTAGATTGTGTTTGTTCGAAAAGTTGACTAGAACTTCAAAAAAAGCTGGGTTCCCAAGCTTGTCTATATTTATAAGGTAAGAACTCTTTGTTTGTCTTTGTGTCTGTCTGTCTGTTTTTTATGTTCGATCATAACTTAGGAACCCCTTGACGATTTCCCTCAAATTTAGATTGGGGAACTCGTTAGAACCAAATCTGGATGAGAGTTGGATTCCTATGCTATGTGAGCATTAAGCAGATCGTCCGAAATTTGTATTGAAATATTATTTGAATATTTATTTCACATTTTTATGCGTCCTCAATGTGCGTTATCAAAAGTGCATTTTATTCTTCACAATTACTGCATCCTTATAACTTTAAGTGATTTGTACATCTGAATAAGTGCAATCTGTGCACCCTCTTTTGCAACAGTTAATGTTCTTGAACGTTTTCATAGAATGGCAGCTATATAAGTCCCTCTTTTTCTTGTATTTTAAATAATTGTTCGTAACAATTGCAAATATTTGATAATGATTTATAGTTCTCCCATTAATGTTTTTAACAAAATGAAATGTTTATTTTTCAAAAAAGTTAAAGATAGGATTGGATTGGATTGATATTAATCTTAAATTCCCAGGAAGAAAGGAAAAGCTTAAAGAATTAATTGTTTTCAGTCCGGAAAGCCAATTTGTAATCCCCGAGGTCAGAACAATTTGTAAACCTTTAAATTTATTTCAAGGATTAGCAATAGATTTTAAGAATTTTTTTAAAACGTATGTCTAAAAATCTAAATTTCCAGAAGCAAATTAAAAACCTGTAAAAAAACTGAAAACCTGAAAACCTCTCAAAACCATCGAAAACCCATGAAAATCAGAAAATTTGCAAACTTGAAAACTTGAAAACTTAAAAACCTGGAACCTGAAAACCTGAATACTTGAAATCCTAGAAACACGAAAACCTGGAAAACCTTAAAATCTGATACCTAAAAACCTAAAAACCTGAAAACTTAGAATCCCTGAAAACCTCTGAAAACCTCTGAAAATCTAAAAACCGGACATCCTAAAAATCTGAAAACCTAAAACATGAAAACCTGAAAATCTGAAACCTCTGCAAGCCTGAAAACCTGAAAACCTGAAAATCTGAAACCTCTGAAAGCCTAAAAACCAGAAAACCTGGAAACCTGAAAACTTGAAAAACCTGGAAATCTGAAAATCTGAAAACCTGGAAACCTGAAAACCTGAAAACCTGGAAACCTTAAAACATGAAAACCTGGTAACCTCGAAACCTGAAAGATTGAACTAAAACATCTCAGTGTGAAGAAGACAGTAGAAGAGTTGAACAAAAACTAAAGAAAGATGGATCCATAGAATCGAATTTCTGTCGAGAATTCGTTTTTGCTTTTCACCCCCCCCCCCTCCACCTCCCCTGCATCTAGCCTCGCCTTGTCAAGATTTTGAGATAAAGTAATTATGCAAAAGGTTGAAGGGTGGAAGAGAAAATAAAGACAATAAGAAACTTGTACATGCACGTTTTTATATACACATGTTTTCTTTTCTGTTCTTTTAACTTTTGTTATCCAATAGCTAATACCTACCCAACCTTGCCTATAGCTTAGACCACTCTCTGCTAAACCCTACTTTTTCTTCGGTCAGTGTACTGCAGATTACTGCAGAACGCACCCAAAGCTTAGTTGAGGGTTCTCTACCTTTCTCTATATCCATTGTTTATTTACCTATCCTTGTATCTAGTGTTCTTTTACCTATCCTTGTATACAGTGTTCCTTTACCTATTCTTGTATCTAGTGTTCCTTTACCTATCCTTGTATCTAGTGTTCCTTTAATTATCCTTGTATCCAGTGTTCCTTTACCTATCCTTGTATCAAGTGTTCATTTACCTATCCTTGTATACAGTGTTCCTTTACCTATCCTTGTATCTAGTGTTCCTGTACCTTTCTTTGTATCCATTGTTCATTTACCTATCCTTGTGTTGTATCCAGTGTTCTTTTACCTATCCTTGTATCTAGTGTTTCTTTACCTATCTTTGTATTTAGTGTTCCTAGACCTATCCTAGTATCTAGTGTTCCTTTACCTATCTTTGTATTTAGTGTTCCTTTACCTATTCTAGTATCTAGTGTTCCTTTACCTATCCTTGTATCTAGTGTTCCTTTACCTATCAGCTTGTGACCAGTGTTCCATTAACTATCAGATCGTATCCAGTATTCCTTCACCTATCCTTGTATCCACTGTTCCTTCACATATACTTGTATTCATCCAGTGTTCCTTCATCTATCAGCTTGTATGCAGTGTTCCATCTATTGTAAAAATGTGAACGATGTACTCAATGTGTAGGAAGTTAGTAACTACGTATGTATATGAAGAAACTTGACAAATGCTTAAATTTGGCGGAGCATGTGACAGGACTAGAAGAGAACTAGGGGGGAGGGGAGGTAGTAGAGGAAAGTATAATAAGAAATCAGTATTTAAGAGAATCAAGTTATTCAGTTTAGGCGAAGAAAAGGATAATAGTGACAATCTGTTTTAAATTTTTTACAGCCAGCTAAGACACATTGTTATCATTACCAATAACTCCAGTTTAAGTGGATTTTAAAAAGTATGTTTATAATAATCTTTTTTATCGTTTACCTTAATATGTCTATATAATATTTATAAGACCTTTAATCCAGCTGATCGGAACAGTTGAATAGAGCTGACTCAAATATATCCTTTATTAATATTTTTCATGTACATTTACAGTCAGATATTATATTCTCAATATTTTCAACACCAGTGCCTAGAAATATAATACTTATAAAACTTGATTTTCCGAGATAGTCAGGGAATTTCAGATACTTGTTTCTAGTCTCAATTTTTTATTCAATACTTATTTCTGGTGCCAATATTGGTCATATATTGTTTGAACTTGTGTACTGGTATCTGGTGCCAATATTGGTCATATATTGTACGAACTTGTGTACTGGTATCTGGTGCCAATATTGGTTATATATTGTACGAACTTGTGTACTGGTATCTGGTGCCAATATCGGTTATATATTGTTTGAACTTGTGTACTGGTATCTGGTGCCAATATTGATTATTATATTGTACGAATTTGTGTACTGGTATCTGGTGCCAATATTGGTTATTATATTGTTCGAACTTGTGTACTGGTGTCTGGTGCCAATATTGGTTATTATATTGTTTGAACTTGTGCACTGGTATCTGGTGCTAATATTGATTATTATTTTGTTCAAACTAGTGTACTTGTGTACTGGTATCTGGTGCCAATATTGACTCTTTGTTGTTCAAACTTGTTCAGTGGTATCTGATTATTATTCGTTTTTTTATTATTTCATATTGATTACTTTTTGTTTAATCTTTTTTATATACTTGTATCCGGTGTCAATATTGATTTTTTGGCTTAAACTTTGGTTCTTATAACTAGGGCCAAAATAGAACAATTTTTGTTAAAACTTGCTGATCTTGATTATTTTTTGAGTTGCTTTCTTGGGTACTTGTTACTTACATCTGGTGCCAATCTTGACTTTTTTTCGGGCACTTGTTTCGGGCACATGTTTCGATGGCACTTTTATATGGTCTAAATACTAACAATTTTTTACTGTGCGGATGAATGAATGAATCAGAAGTTATGAAAGTATATTTTGAACAAGAAAAATAGGCATTTTTAAATTCTACCTTTGAAAACTGAACTTTCCAATTTATTGATAATAAGTTGCAAGGTATTGAATGCTGCAGGCATTATACAAATGCTTGAAACGCCTTAAGATATTCAATTGACGAGGTTCACTGAAATTCAAATATTTCAATGGTGCATACAACAAGACTATTTCAATGGTGGATATAACAATAATATTTCAATGGTGGATATAACAAGAATATTTTAATGGTGGATATAACAAGAATATTTCAATGGTGGATAACAAGAATATTTCAATGGTGGATATAACAAGAATACTTCAATGGTGGGTATAACAAGAATATTTCAATGGTGGATATAACAAGAATATGTAATGGATATAACAAGAATATTTCAATGGTGGATATAACAAGAATAATTTTCATAAAATAATTTCTTTAAGAATTCAATTCAGATTCCAATTTATTAAACAAAACCTAAATTATCTCTATCCGAACAAAGTTCTTAATATCTCGCAAGCAAGGAATATTAAATTTTTAAAATCTCAGGACTAGGGTTATTTTTGTGATTATAAACTCTAGAAATGGATTTGTTAAATTTCTGCCCGCTTCAAAATTATACATTCACGAAACCTCTCACTATGCAATCAATATATATATTTTATTGGAAGCAACCTTCAAGTTCCTTTATTTTCCTTAAATTTAAATAAAGTTTTTTCTCACAGTAATTATGCACTGAAGAGAAACACTATTGGTCTAAAGTTTATCTTCATTATGTCGCCTTTACCCACGGCTACAAGTCTTTGATATTTGTCAGTTGGTTCGAAGATTATATTTTAGAAGTTTCTAATAACATTAAACATACAATCAAAGAAAATAATTGCTGCGCCAATTTTAAAAAAAGTTTTAAAAAAAGATATTCAAAATATTTTTTAAATCATTAAAAATTTGGATTTAAAATCAATTATCGATAAAAAGATATATAATGTTACGTCCAACCATACTTCCATTCTTTCTCTTGAAATTGTTGTCTAAATATTGATAATACTGAAAATATTAAATATTATGTTTAGCCTGATATTGAATTATGCTAATATACTCGGATATAAAGGCACAAAGAAAACTGGAAATATAGAACACGGTTCCATCTCCTGTTAAACAAATGTTTTAAAACCTTTATTCAACATTGCTGAGTGTACGCAGTGTGAATTTCTCTCGAAAAACCTGAATATTTTATATTAAATGCGATTTAAAAAAAATTAAATTCAAATATTGACTTTCTGTGAGTTCTGGAAAGTAAATATTAATATTTCTTATAACAGTTTGAAAATAAAGAAGACGGGAAGTGTTCACTTACTTTTGTTTTTACCTTTGACTGATTTCTTATCAGTTCCTCCACGTCAACGTAGAATGTACACAAACCCTATTCCCCCTTTCTTTAGTAT